CCCCCCCCCCCACCCCACACACACATACCACCTGAGTCGACATGCCCATGTGTACCAGACGGCTGGGGAGTGCGCGGACGTGCGACGTTGTTCACAACGTTGTACTTGTTGTTCACAAGTCGTTGTTCCTGACACGGCCACTCCGGGTTATGGCGAGAAGAGCGACGGTCACCATGGCCTTGGCGGCCTTGGTGGTCATTATGATGTGCACAAACAGCTCGTTTGCTCTGCCTGTCTGTACCTTTGGTGAGACGGCGACGACCTCTGGCTCGGTGAAGCAATGGGCTGTGGGCGTGGCCTTTCGGTATGATCCTGTTGACAACTACGACATGGCCACTCTCTGCGGTGCGACCATTAAGCTGTCGGGACCACATGGTGGCCTCTCTTATGCGCTGTATGAGGCAAACAACGATGTGCTGTCAGAGTACACCAAGATATATGGCGACTTTTCTGTGACTGGCCCAGCTACCTCAGGCGGCTACTACAGCGTCGGCGATACCACAGCAGAGGTCTCGTTTGCCTCGCGCCTTCCGCTCACGCCCGGCAAGTACTACGCGCTCATGATACGCACCACCAACTCGCTTAACTTCTATCGCTACGACACCGTCCCGTACTCGGGCTGTTCCTCCACCATTCACGTCCTGCACATCATCCGCCAAGCCAATGGCAATCTCCCGCCGACACTCACCGGCTACAACCAGGCGTCGAATGTGCCTGCCGTCACCCTCACCTTTTGCCCATCGTGCTTGCCTGCGCCAAGTGCGCCGACGTTTGGCACGGTCACCATTGGGGGCGACCTGACAGACCGCTTGTTTCACGGAGACACCGCAACGTACAGTTGCAACTCTGGCTACCTTGTGTCCGGACCGACTGTTCAGACATGCACGACAGGTGGATACTCTCCCGCACCGCCATCGCCCACGTGTGTTCCTGCGGCTTCACCATCGCCGCCACCACCACCTAATCCGCCGCCGCCATCACCGCCGTCGCCGCCATCACCGCCGCCGCCGCCATCACCACCGCCGCCACCATCACCGCCGCCGCCACCATCACCGCCGCCGCCACCATCACCGCCGCCGCCGCCATCACCACCGCCGGCGCCTAGTCCTCCACCGCCACCATCACCACCGCCGCCGCCATCTCCACCGCCACCACCGCCATCACCGCCGCCGCCGCCATCTCCTCCGCCGCCGCCATCTCCGCCACCCCCCTTCCCTCCTCCACCTCCAACTCTTCTGCCGCCGCCCGCAATCGTGGCGGCGGTCGCATCCGACCCTACGGCGGCAGATACCACCCTTGCTGCTGGCGATCTACTGACACTCACGTTTTCCGAACCAACCGCCACGCCTACGCTCTCATCAGCCACCACCCTCGATGCTGCACTCTCCTGCACCCGCACCTCGAGTGCAAGTCCGGCTCCGATATCCGCATGCCTCGGCACGCCGCTGGCTGGCTCATGGTCACCCGACGGCACGACGCTGACCATCACCATCGGTGCCTCCATGCCGCCGCCGCTTTCGGCCATCCCCATTCCGGGCTCGACCGTCTTTACCCCCACCGGCACCGTGCCCATCACCAACGCTGCCGGAACCTCCGCCGCCGCCTCCGCACCATCGCCTGTTCTCTCGGGCTCGTGGGGCGCTACCTCGGCCGATATCAGCATTCTCACCGAGGGCTCCGATGGCGTCGCCTTTGCAGGCGCCACCCTTGCCGAGGGTACTGCCGTCACTCTCCTTGTCCAGCTCTCGCTCCCGCCGTCCGCCGACGTCACCGTTAACTTTCGCCTCGATGGCGCCATCGCTGCTGCCCCGCGCCCGGCTCACGCTACGCTTTCAGTAGCTACTCTCACCTTTACGCCCACCAACTGGAACAGCTTCCAGTCGCTGACGCTCTCCGCGCCCGCTGATGACTATGGCGGTGAGGAGTCGGTACCGATCACCCTGGTCCTGGTCTCGATCTCGTCGGCCGACGCGGTGTATGCCAGCTCGGTGCCACCGACAGGCATCAGCTACCCTGTCAACGTCGTCGATGCTACTCCGCTCGACCTCGTCATCACCGGCCTTGCTCACCCATCGGGTGTCTCGCCGCCGCTCCCATCGCCGCATCATCCACTCCCGCCGCTGCCGGCAGGCACCCCGGTCCTTTCGCAGGTCGGCCACATGGTGTGTGGCACTATCAAGCTAGTCTCGACGCCATGGAAGGCCGCTGCGTCTGAACCATCGGCGCGGGTCGTCGTCGAGCTCACCTCGTCGCTGCCCAAGTCCGTCGTCATTATCACCGGCGCGGAGCCGGGCGCCTTTCCGCGCCCTCCCAACTATTTGGATCGGAGGGCAACGGCGCAGCTTCCGGGCACTGCTGCTGCCACCGCGACCGCGGTCCTTGGCGCAGCTGCCGAGCCGCCATTTGTCGTGGATGGCCGTTCCGGCGCACAGTTTTGTCTCCTTGCGCTGACGGCGTCAGGCCTTGATGCTTCGACTCTATTCACGCTCGACGTGAGAGTCGTGCCTGCCCTCACGTCCGCGGTCGGCTTTGCCAACGGCGTCGCCGCGCAGGCCACGCTCGGAGTCGCTGCTGTCACCTGGCCTCACATCGACCGCACCAGCCCGCAGGTGGCGACACGCGTCGGCTCGCAGATGGTGCTCCACGGCCTCGGCCTGTGGGCCGAGCTCGAGCTGAGCGTGGCGTCGCAGCTCGCCCCACCGGCGGCCGCCAACATCTCGGCTGCCGCCGACGGCCGCACCTTTGACGTCGTCACGCCACCGGTGGCCGACGAAGGCTATCTGGGAATTACGCTGCGCGAGCCGTCGACTGGTGCGTTCCTCAGCTACGACGACCTGTTCTTCACCAACGATTGCCCGTTCGAAGGCCAGTTTGGCCGTGGCCTCGACTGCAAGCCATGCCCTGTCGGTGCGTTTTGCCCGGGCGGCTACCGGCTCTGGCCGCTGCCCGGCTACTGGGCGCCAGCCGAAGACGCCGGCTTTGTCGCAAAGTGCGCTGAGCCTGCGTCGCGTTGTCGCGGCGGCCGGTACTCGGCATGCGCCGGCGAGTACACCGGAAACATGTGCTCCCAGTGCTCCGGCGGGCACTACCGGCTCGGCAAGGCGTGCGTGGCTTGCTCATCGTCAACGGCCGTGTTCATCACGTTAGTCGCCACCAACGTTCTCTTCTGCGCCCTCTTCATTGTCGCCACGCTCGTGCTCAATGACTCGCTGCTCAACACGGCGACTCAGGCGCTGCTGGGCCTGCTGGTCCTCTACACGGTGGCCAAGACAAACGCAGCGGCCATGTCAGGCTGGCTTGCCGAGTTGTACCAAGTCCTTGCGCTCGTGGCCATGGACTTTCAGTTTGTGCGCCCAGGATGCGAGGGCCTACCGGGCTCGTTTGCCGCCCTCTTCTACGGCGCCGTCTGTCTCTCGGTCGGCATGGGTGCTACCATGGTTGTCCTCCTCTGGCTTGTCCCGCTCATTATCCCGTCCAAGGCCGCGTTTTACGCCAACCGCCGCATCCGTGCCCCCATCATCTTTGGCTTTATCATGTACGTCACCCTTACTCAGCTCTTTCTCCAAGCCCTGTTCTGCGTACCGATCACCCGCGGCGAGACCCGCGTCTGGGTCCTCTCCGCCTCACGCGACATCGAGTGCCTCTCCTCCGAACACTCGTTTATCTTTGGCATCGCTCTGGTCGGCTTCTTCACCTTCTCCGCCGGCCTCCCCGCCTTTGCCTTCTATAAGCTCCGCGGCCTCCGCAAGTCCGGCCGCCTCTCGGTCTATCACTTTGCCGCTGCCGACGGTCTGCTCACAAAGCTTGATTCAGACCACATGCTGCCTACAGCGACAACCGTTATCTGTACGCCGGGTGACTTTAGCCCGCCTTCTTCTGCCAGCTCGTCGACCTCGACCTCGACCTCGACCTCGACCTCGACCTCGACCTCGTCCTCGTCCTCGAACTCATCCTCCATCTCAAGCTCCTCCTCTACCTCGTCATCCGAGTCTCCTGTTCTCGAACAACAAGAGGAAGCGGGTGGAAGCATCCGAGACTCGATCCGAGCCCGGTATGGCTTCCTCTACGAGCAGTACCGGATGTCGACCTACCTTTGGTCGCTTGTCCAGCTTGCGCTGCTGATGACAGTTGCTGTTGCCAGCGCCATCCTCAGCGAGAAGCCGGGATGGCAGGCGGCACTAACGTCTGCGGCGCTGCTCATCACGGCGGCGCTGATGGAGGCGGTGCGGCCGTTCGGCAAGCACTGGCGCAACCACTTTTCCGCTGTCCTCCTCACCTGCTCCTGCATCGCTACGCTGCTCTCGTACGGAGTGGCTGCTGGTCCGCTCAAGTCGGTCCGTCTCGAGATCTCACTTGCCGTCCTCGCCATGTTTGTTCTTGCTCTACTCTTTGTGGCTGTCCGCGGCTTCTCTCTCGCAATTGCCGCCTACGAGCGGCGGAAGAGCCTCTCGAACCGCATCGGCGTCGCCACTTCGACGCTCCCGATTGCCTCGCACACCATGCATGCGTTTGCGCTGGCCACACCACATGGCGGCGGCAAGTCCAACGGCACTTCTGGCGGCAACTCACTGGTCTTTGGCTCACTCTCGCTCGCCAGCCTTGGCTCAGATCCCGAGGCGACCGAGTCGACGGCTCTCGCTGAGCCGGCGCGCCCCGCAAGCCAAACCGCCAACCCGCCGGGCATCGTCTCGGTCACGTCGCTCGGCGGCGAGCTCGACTCGCCACGCCAGCAGTGTGGGTTTGTCGTCGGCCTCGCATCGGAGAACGCCCTGGTAGCCTCAACGCCTCCCGTCGACCCGCCTCCCCGTTCCGCTACCGTCGCTGCTCGTCTTGGGTCAGCCAAAACTGCGTCGCCTCCAGACGATCGTGCGCACCGCCGGCGCCGCCGGCGCCGCAACAGCAGCCGCGTCGCCCCAGCCGGCGTCGCCTCGGTCCCAGCCCTTCTCAAGCATCCGGCCGGGCAAGGTCTGGCGTCGCGCGACTCGCCCTCCCGCATCCACCAGCGGCCCAATCGCAAGCGCACCAGGCGCACCAAGCGCACTAAGCGCAACCTCTCATCGGCGTCACGCGGCATGACCGCATCGCTCTCCATCGCCGACATCCGCCAAAGCAGGCAACGGTCCATTCAGCACGAGATCTCTTCGCTCGGGCTGCAGCCCTCATCGTTCTCACGCCAGCCATCATCATCGGCCACTCTTATCAGTCCGCTGGCGTCCGGCATGCTCGACACTGGCTCGACCAGCGCGACCCGGCTGCCGACTCTGTCGGATCCGCCTTGTGATCTTGCAGCTTGAAGTGAACGCCCACCCAACGCGACACAAGCCGACCCCCCCCTCCCCCCCCCCCTCCTCCTCCTCACCCCCTTCCATGCTCCGCACCTGGGCCCGCCTCGCCTGTCCGCCCCACACAGTGGTGCGGCGGCTGGTGGTGGACGTGGGCCTAGAGTTCCACGTTCAGCTGGCCACGGCGAGCAAGCTGTTCTCGGCCGCCGGCACCTCGACGTCGACGGCAAGCATACCCAACACGGCGGTGGCGGCTCTCGACGCAGGCCTCCCTGGCGCCCTGCCTGTGGTCTCTGCCGAGGCTGTTTCGCATGCTCTCTCGCTTGGCCTTGCCCTCGGTGGCACCATCGCCCCCACCTCGCTCTTTGACCGCAAGCACTACTTCTACCCAGACATGCCGCTCGGCTACCAGATCACACAGCGCATGGCTCCGCTGATCCGCGGCGGGGAGCTGGTTCTTGGCCCGCGGCCTCTTGGCGGATCGGTCTCTCCGCCTGCTGTCGCCATTGACTACTGCTCGCTCGAGCAGGACTCGGGCAAGCTCGCCCTCGCCCGCAACCCGGACGCCGCCCTGCTGGATCTCAACCGCGCCGGCATGCCGCTGGTCGAGGTCGTCACCACCCCTGGCCTGCACTCGCCCGAGGACGCACAGGCTGCCCTCCGCGCCATTCAAATGCTGGTCCGTGCCCTTGGCGTCTCTTCGGGCAATTTGGAGGACGGCTCGCTGAGGTGCGACGTCAACGTCTCGATCCGTGCATCGCGCGACGCCCCACTCGGCGTCCGTTCCGAGATCAAGAACGTGAACTCGGTCAAGGCTGTCGGCCGCGCCATCGCCTTTGAGATCCAGCGCCAGTCCGAGGCCCTGGCTGCCGGCGAGAGCCTCGGCATGGAAACGCGCGGCTACGACGCCCGCACCTCGTCGACCTACCGGCTGCGGACCAAGGAAAGCCAGACCGACTACCGGTTCTTCCCGGACCCGGACCTCCGGCCGCTGCGCGTCTCGCCGGCCGAGATTGCCGCAGCCCGCACTGCCCTGCCGGAGCTTCCGTTTGCCACCCTCGACCGCCTCATCGCCGAGTATGCGCTCGACGAGGCCAAGGCGGCGCGACTTCTCGAGGTCGATGGCGCGGTGGCGTTCTTTGAGGAGACGCTTGCGGCTTCGCCGGCGGCGGCGGCTGCGCCGGTTGCAGACTTTATTGTCAATGAGTACTACGGCCGGCTCGGCGGCGCGCCGCAACCATCCATGGCCGACGCAGTGGTCCGCCCGAGCGTCCTGGCGCGCATCTTTGAGCTAGTAGCGAGCAACGAGGTCTCGCGCAAGGTCGCGCGCAGCGTCTTTCTTGAGCTGCATCGAGCCGGCGAGCGTGAGGCAAGCCCTGCCGCCGTCGACGCCGTTCTCGACGCCCGCGGCTGGCGCCTCGCGCCGCTGGCGGCAGACTCGTTGAGCGCACTGTGCGCCGACGCGCTTGCCGCCCATCCGGACGCTGTTGCCAAGTACAAGTCGGGCAACAAGCGTGCGCTTGGTTTCCTGGTTGCCCATGTCATGAAGGCCACAAAGGGCGCTGCGCCACCCGATGCGGTCTCGCGGGAGCTGCGCGCCGCGCTCGACGGTTGAGCTGACGCCTTAAAACTTGGAGGTCATGACCCAGACGCCGCCGTTCCACCCTGCTGCTGCGAGTGCACCAGAACGTGCCGCTGCCGCATCAGCCGGGTCGGCGCCCGCCTCGGACGCAGCCGCGAGGGCAGCCGCAAAGTGGCTGGCCCGTGCAGCCATGACAGCCGACGGCCGATCGTCGTGGTCCTCGGCGAGCCGGGCAAACGCTTGCTGCGCCGCATCAAACTCGCGCGACTGGTACGCTTTGTACGCGCTGGTGTAGCCTGCAAACATGTCACGGACCGATGGCTTGGTGCGGGCAACCTGGAAGACCCGGACCGTGGTGGTCTTGCCCTTGACCCGTACGCGGTCAACAAGGCGGACAAGCTTGTCCGGCGACGGGCTTGGGTCGTCGGCGCCCCCGGTCTCGAGCGGGAGGCCGGCAGCGGAAAGGGTGGCCTCGGTGACGAGCAGCGGGACGCCGTAGGTCCGGGTCAGCATCTCCGTTCGCGACGCGAGATTGACATTGTCGCCCACAACGGTGTAGTCCATGCGGTCGAGTGAGCCGATGTTACCAGCGACAACCTTCCCAGTGTGGAGGCCGATGCCGACCTGGACCGAGTCGAGTCCGTCGCGGCAGCGGCGGATGTTGAAGGCATCGATGCTGTCGAGCATGTCGAGCGCGGCGTCGACAGCGTCGACAGCGTCTGTAGGCGTAGGGTAGGGGACGCCAAAGGTAGCCATGACGCAGTCGCCGATGAGCTTGTCGAGCACGCCGCCACGCTCGAGGACGACGTCGATCATGGGCGGGAAGTAGTCGTTGAGGAGCGCCACGACGTGCGGAGCGTCCATTGACTCGGCCATGGATGAGAAGCCGATGATGTCTGCAAAAAGCACCGTGGCGGTGGCCCACTCGGGCTGGGTCATTGACGCACGCGAGCGGACGGCGTGGCTCGGGGTGTTGATTGGCGAGATGGTGGCCGACTCGTCTGCAAGCACCTTGCTCGCCACCGCCGGAGAGAGGTAGCGGTTGAGGGTGATCTCACGCTTCGCTCGACAGTGACGTCGTCAATGAGAATAGCGACACCACGGACGGCGCCGTCAGCCTCGCGGAGGAGCGAGGCGCGGAACGAGATGATGGTGGTGCCTGCGCCACGAACGTCGACGTCGACAGCCTCCTGCGACACGCCAGAGTCGAGGACGGCGTCGACGGCAGCGCGCATCTCGTCGACGTCCATCCATGCCGAGTAGTGTGAGGAGCGGAGCGCCGCCATGGTTGTGTTGGGGAAGAGCTTGGCGGTCTGCTTGCGATGGTTGGAGAGGACAAGCCGGCCCGAGTCGTCAAGAATGAGCAGGACCTGGTCGAGCGAGTGCACAATGTTGCGGAGAAGGCGCTCCGAGCCGACAACCTGCGAGAGAAGCCGGCAGTGCTGGACAATGCCCTCGATTCGATTGGCAACGTACTGTACAAGCATGCGGTCGCCAGACGAAAAGTTGCGGGCGCCAAACTTGTTGGCGGCAGTGAGTACGCCGACTGCGCGACCCTGCCCGTCGAGCAGCGGTGTGGCAATGAACGACGAGGCCAGCGGCGGACCCTCTAGGTACGGCTCATAGAGTGGCTCGTGTGAGACCGCGGCGAGGCAAACGGTCCGCCGCTCGGCGAGAGCAACGCCCGAAAGGCCATGCGAGGCCGGGAAAGCAACGTGCGAGGCCGGCAGCGAGCCCGAGCCCGAGCCGAGCGCGAGCGGGACCGGAATCGGCGCCACCAGACGCTGGGCGTCCGACGGCGGGACGTCCGTCGGCGGCGCGTCCGACTCGAGGTCGAGGCCCGAGGCGAGCGAGCGCTCCAGCAGAAAGACGCGGATGTCCGGGACCTCAAGGACGTCTGCGGCAGTGGTGAGGATGTCCGGGAGAATGGCGGCGAGGTCGGCGGCCTCGCGCTCCGGCGCGGTCGACTGATGGGTGAGGAGCGTGTTGAGCTTGTCGATGTAAATGGCGTTGTAGATCGAGACTGAGACCTGGGCGGTAAAGGCGTGGATGAGGTCGATGTCAGCCTGGGAGAACGAACGGGCGCCGTGCTTGTTGATGGCTTGCGCCACGCCGAGGATCTCGCCGTCGGCGTCGCGGACCGGGAGGCAGAGGACCGAGCCGGTGCGGAACCGAGTCTTGCGATCAAACTCGGGATTGAAAAACGGCGAGGTGTATGCGTCGTCGATGTTGACCACTTTGCCGGTCCGGGCCACGTAACCGGCGATGCCTGCGGTGATGGGAAACCGGATCTCGTCCACTCCGCGCGAGGTCTCCGACCACAGCTCGTGGGTTTTGTGGTCAAGAATGAAAAAGTTGACCACGTCCGACCCGATCAGCTGCCGGCACCGCGACATGATGGTGTTGATCACGCCCGAAATAGACCGGTTGCGCGCGACCGAGCGCGAGGCAAACAGCAACGCCTCGGATGCCGCTGCTGGTGACTCGGCCATGACCGCGTACTCGGACGGCACATCCTCGACGCTCACTGCTCCGCCATCACCGCTGATGGCTCCACTAGCCGTTGATACGTCGCTCCCGCGATCGCCGCCCCGCGACGCCGACAGTGTAGAGATGATCTCCTGCTGGCGGACGACAGTCCGCTGGAGGCGGGTGACCTGCTGGGTGAGAGCAGCGATGCGGGCCGAGGCGTCGCCGAGGGGAAACCCGATGGCCTCTGTCCGCAGCGCCGATGGCGACGATGCCTGCGCCACGCCAGCCAGCACAGCCTGGTCTGACATGGACACGACAGGGATGGTCACAGGCGGCGGCGGCGTCCGTGTTGTTGTCCTTGGCGAGCTTGCCGATGCCGATGGCGTCTGTGTGGACGGCACCGGCTGGTGCTGCTGGTGCTGCTGGTGCTGCTGTTGGAGCTGGTGCTGGTGCTGGTGCATGACAGGAAAGTCGCCGACACTAGGAGACGGAGCTATTGGGTCATAGTTGAGGAGTTGGCCATGTGGAGGAGGAGGCGAGGACATATGCAAGAGGGGGTGGCGGGTGGAGGGGAGGTGTGGAGGAGGGGTATTCTCAAGCGAGCAACATCCGAGCAATGCGCGAGCAATACACACACTGGCAGCGCCCGCCAGGCAGAGCCACAGCCAACCCATCAACGAGCCAACGCGCCAAAGAGCCAAAGAGCCAACGAGTCAAAGAGCCAACGAGCCAACGAGCCAACGAGCCAGCAGTCATCAGGCAATGTGATGGTTGTCGGCCTGCCGTCACAGTCGCCACCAGCAGCGTCTGCCAGCCACCGAGTCGCACACTAGGTACTTTCAGCCACAGCGACAGAGCGACAGCGACACGGACACAGGCACACCGCACACACCCACACACCCACACACCCACCCACACACCCACACGCACACACACGCACACACGCTCATACACACCAATACATACACACTCCTCGTCCCACAGCCACCACAACCACAACACCATACACACCCACACACCCTCCCTCCCTCCCTCCCCCTTCCCCTCCACCCTCCCCCTTCCCCTTCCCCCCTCCCCCCTTCCCCCCTCCCCCCTCCTCATTCCCTTCCACCAACATGATCCGGAGACCATCATCGTCTCCTGGAGCGGCAGAGCTTGTGATTGTGCCGTCGGATATGGCGGAGATGTTTGTGGCGGCGGTGGCGGAGAGCGAGGCTGACGACGGCGAGTCTTACGTTGACGTTGGTGACCTTCTGGCTGCCGGTGGTGATGAGGGCGATGCAGAGGCACTCATGGTAGCAGACCCCAGCTCCATGCTCGAGCGTATCGCGCACACGCTCTCGGCTTCACCTCCGTCATCCTGGTCCTCTTCTGCCATGCCTGCCCTTCACTCGGACGCCTCGCCGCTGTCGGCCTCGTTCAGCTCACGCGGCAGGCGCAGTAGCGGCGGTCGCGGCGGCGGTCGCGGCGGCGGTCGCGGCGGCGGGCGTGGTGGCGGGCGTGGTGGCGGGCGTGGCGGCGGGCGTGGTGGCGGGCGTGTTTTTTTTTTTTGGTGGCAGCTTCGGCTCTAGTCTCTTTGGCTCGCGGCGTCCGCGCCGCTCAGACTCGCCGCCGTCGGCGTCGTCGATGCTCGGCTCGTTTGGCCATGCCACCCGTGAGCTCTCGGGTATCGACGAACACCCGCCTTGGGGCATATCCAATAACCCCCACGCCTTTCTTGAGCTTGCTGCCGCTGCCAGCGGCGGGAGAGCTCCTGGAAGTGGCCGTCGCGGCGGCTCGCGTGGCAGCGGCCGCCGCGGCCCGCCGTCCAACCCAGCCCGCGCCCGCCGCCGCTCACGCGACAACGGCTTCGGCTCGGCAGACAACTCGCGCCGCGAGGTCCGGAAGAAGAACCGATTCTCCGGAGACTCGGACGCCAGCTTCAGCCCGCGCGGCCGAGGCCGTAGCCATACCCTCGGTCGTGGTCGTAGTCGCGGCTCGCAGCGCAAGTCGGATTCATCGCGCACCGCTGCCTTGCGCGGACAGTCTCGTATCACGGCCGCGTCTCCGTCGCTCCGCCCGGTCCGCCTCCGCCGCGCACTGGTCGACGACGACTCGGCTGCTGCCAAGCGTTCTGCTGCCAAGCGTGCCTTCTGTCAAGAGCTTGTCCTCTCGTCGCTTGGCCAATAAAGCCGGCGCCCTACCCTGCCCATCTTTACCACCGATAACCGACCGTGTGCCACGCCGGCGCCGCCGCTGTCAGCCCAAACTCGGCGCAGAACGCTGTGAGCTTACCCAGCGCCTTGGCCTTGGTCATGGCCTCGACCTTGGCGCACAGCCGCCAGTCCCAGGCCTTGGGATCGTGGAACGTGTATGAGTGGGTGTAGAGCGCGATGTACGTGCCATGCTCACCGTGGGTGGTGTCGCCCCACTCGCCCACCTCCACCTTGAGCGCACGCAGCTTCTTCTCACGCTTGGCAAACGAGAGCCGCTCCGGCCGCTTCACCCCATTCGCCCGCAGCCACTTATTCATCCAGTACCGGTGAACGTCGTCGCTCTCGCCAAAGAACACCCGCCCGCTCCGGGTCCGCCGCACGCTCTGCAGCGCACCTTCCACAGGCTGCGGCCGCCCGAGCAGCTTCTTGAGCGGGACCGCGAAGACCAGGCCGTACACCAGGATGCACGTCGTGTTGACTTCGGCCGAGAGCGACGGAAGGCGCGCAAGCTGCGGTGTGTCCGCAACCACAGGCTGCGGCCGGACCGCTTCCGGCTCCTCAGCCACGGGCGCTAGCCCGCTGCCGCGCTCCGGCGAGAACGCTGTCATATCCATCGGGCATGAGCCCTGCGATTGCGAGAAGCCAAACTCGGCATCGGCATCGAATCTTGACTCGACATCAGCTCCGCCGTTTCTGTCCCCACCCGTCGCTTCCTCGTCGTCGTCCGAAATGTCGAGCGATGCCCCTGCTGTTGTCCGTCTACGCCGCGGGCTCCTCGGCTCCACCAGACTGGTGCCGAGATTAAGCTCGCCCAGCTCGAGTGTCAGCCCTGTCGATGAGCCTCCAGGATACTCGGGCACATCGTCCTCTTCAAGCACCGACCGCCTCCGCTTGCGAAAGTTGGATGTTCTCTTCAGAGCTGCCATGCTTGCAGGCAATGGCTCCCCAAAAAAAGGTCGTGGTTTGGCACCGAGTCGATGCCGGTGAGGACCAGCCGAAGACCAGCCAAAGACAAAGTTCAAGCACGGCACTTGCCGAGGGCTACGATAGGGACGAGCGCAAGGCGCAAGAGGAAGAGTGTGCAACGAGAGTGAGATACTTGTCGCACACCTCAGAACAGCTTCCCGTCACTCTCTCCAAGATGAGGTCCAACAATGCCGAGAGCAGTGGCGCACCGAGTGCTGGTGGCAGAGCGAGTGGCTCGGGCGTCGGAAGGACAAGCTCGGGTGAAAAAGGCGGAGCGAGGGCCGAGAGCGAGGCGGGAGGGACGAGCACAGAAGCGACAGAGGGCACAAGGCAAGCGAGTACAGTCGGCAAGCTGCGCGACGTGGTGGCGGTCCTGGTCCTCGAGTGGCTGACGGATGCTGGGCTGCACAAGACTCGTCAGATGCTCGAGACCGAGGGCATGGCCCTGATTCGCGCCGGGAGCAACGTCGAGGTGCCCAGGGTCACGCTGGAAGCCCTGTTGGAGAGCTACACCGCATCGGCCCGGCGCGCGACCTCACACGCTGCCGTCCTCGACAAGATGGCGACTCTGTTGCGCCACCTCGGCAGCCAGCCCGGCACCGACAAGGCCAGCGAGGCGTTCGAGACCATCGCCGCGCTTGTCCCACCCTCAACTCCTCTCGACTTTATCACTCCCTCGCACGACTTGTTCTTCTCCGAAGCCATGTACCACTCGGACGACGAAGGCATTGATCGCCGCGCCAAGCGCCACCGCCCGATGGGCTTTCTGGACACCATCACTGCCACGGCCAACGGCGATCTTAACCTCGACGACTGCACCGACTCAATCATGCCGCTCTTGCCACCCTCGCCGCCGTACCCTATTGCTGCCGGCCATTTTGACGTTGTTCCCCCACCTCCACCGCCACATCCGACAGCGCGGACCGGCGACAGCAACGGCGCGTCAGTGACAGCCTCACTCGAGCGCTCATCCCCACCGCGATCGCCGGCCAAGCGCAAGCGGCGACCAATCCACAACCCGTTTCCAGTTGCCGAAGTTCTCTGCACCTCGCGGCCGTACCTTCCTCCCCCTGTTGGCCCGTTGCTGCCTCCATCCACTACTGCGTCGGCCGCTGCACCGCCACCCTCCATCTCCACTCGCTCGACACACTCTTCAAAACCGACTCTACCCGACCCACCATCCACCCCATCTCACTCATTGCCCCGCATGGTCCGCCGTGATTCTGCCGCCAATCTTCTTGCCGCCCTCAACGACGTCGATCTTGAGCGCATCGCCCACACCGCTTCAAAGTCGAGTCAGCGCTCCTAGCCAGCCAGCCGGCCGCACGCCGGCTCCTCGCCCACCCACCTTCCACTCGGAAGGTTCTCACCAGCCATCCCCACCTTACTCCGCCATGGCTTCCACCACCGCCACTCCCTTGCTTACGCTCCCCTCAGAGCTGCTTTGCACCATCCTCTCGTTCCTAGACGTGTGGGACCTTGCTGCGGCCTCGGCCACCTGTACCGCCCTCCACACCGCCGCCACTGACCCGTACCTCCTTGCCACCCTTGTGCATACTGTTCGCCCACCGCCAGCTCTGCCGCCGCAGCGCCTGATGGATTTTCTCGCCGCCCGATCCTCGCTCCGCCGCCTGGATCTCTCGGAACGCACCGTCTCATTTGCCCTGCTCGGCTCTCTCCCGGCTGCATGTCCACGGCTGGAGGCACTGACGCTCGACTCTTGTCTCGGCTTTGCCGCCTTTTACGACGGACCGCCAGATCCATCAGTGCCCAAGCTCGGCATTGTACAGGTTGTACAGGCGCTTAATGGCTCGCTTCGCTCGATCTCGCTCCGCAACACCCGCGGGCTCAACTGTGAGCTCGGCCTTCTTCTTGCCGCCGGTGGCGGCAATCTGGTGCAGGTTGCAGTCACCGGCTCAGTCTCCACCAAGTTCTCGTCGTTTGACCCGAACCATGCCGCTTCACTGCGAGTCCTTGATCTAGCGGCCTGTCGGGGGCTCTCCAACGACGGACTTGCTGCGCTCCTTGCTGCCGCCACCGGTCTCATCAGCCTCTGCGTAGCGAGGACCGCCGTGACTGGGGCCGGCTTTGCCGCCGCAAGCCTGCCGCGACTGACAAACCTTGTTATTGCCGGCTGTATGTGCATGGGCGATGAGTGCATGTTGGCTGTGCTATCCGGCGCGCCAGCACTCCGGATCCTTGACGCCTCGTTTCTCCCGATCACCAACGACGGCGTCGCCGCTATTGCCGCCCATGCCCCAAACCTGACCTCGCTCACGCTGCGCAAGTGCTCGCACCTTGGCCCGGGCGCGCTGGCGCCACTGGCACTCGCCGGTACGCGGCTGCGGGTCCTCAACGTTGCCATGGTCTCGGAACTCTCACACGAAGACGTGGTTGGCGTCATCGGCGGGTCGGGCGCGCTGTCGCGGCTGGTGATTGCTGGCCGCCTGACGGGCGCCAACTGGTCTTCGCTCCTCACAACACCACACCTGGACCGTCTGCGGAGCGTTTCGCTCTCGGGCCTCGCCCATCTGGCCGACGAGGTCGTCGGCACGCTCCTCGCCTCGGTCAGGCTCGCCCGCATCGCAGTGGTTGACTGCGGCGGCTTTACCGGCATCGGTTTTGAAGATCTCAAGCTCGGATTCGGCGCCGCGGCGTCGCTGACGCATGTGGCGGCTTACAATCGGGCGCTGCTTCCGCTTGAGCACAATGTCGGCATGGTTTCGGCCATCGGTCGCAACTGCGTCAACCTTGTCGGCCTCCGCATCGATGCCAAGAACCTGACCCGGCTTGCGCTGCTGCGATGGCGGACGAGCCATCTCCGTGAGCTCCACATCGCAGGCTGTGAAGAGACTATTGACGACGTCTCGTGGATTCTGCCAAGCGTCTTTCCGGCGTACGTGAGCAAGCCGACCAAGCTTGCGCTACCGTGGCTCTCTCTCCGCTCGTCCGACCTCGTCGAGGTCCTCGCCTCGCAGCCTGCGCGATTCCTCCACTCGCTCGACCTCCATGGAACTCACATCGACAACGACATTCTCCCGTTGGTCTTCACTGCGCTCCCTCTCCTCACTGATCTCGACATCTCAAACTGCCTGGATCTCGACGACAACGCGCTCAACGGTGTTGACGCTTCTCGTCCCAATCGCATCACCACACTCAACCTCTCTGGCGCGCGCGGCCTCGGCGTTCGCGCCCTCCGGCGCATTGCAACAGTCTCGCCCAACGTCACTTCGCTCAACTCGGCCGATCTTCCCGGCGCCGCCTCGCTTGTCATCTCCTCCCTCTTTCCGCTTCTCCAAGTCACCGGCGTCGGCCAGTGGCTCCACACCTGACCGAGGCCGCCATACCCAACTTGCATCAAGTCCGATCAAGCCACTAACTACCTCCCAGAAAAACCCATATATACACACACACACTCTCTCTCTCTCTATCTTTATCTGTATCTCTCATTCATCTCTAGGTTTCTCTATCACCATCGCCACTCTCCACCAGGTCAAGTGACGAACACGCCGTCGATCACGACGTCCATCTAGCGGCGGCCAGACTTGACGCCACACGTGCCACCATGGACATCCCCGTACGTGGCTCCTCAGCCCCCTACCCACCCACCCACCCACCCCCTCATGTCCCTCCTCTCTCCCCCTCCACCATCACCCACTCATCCCTTCTTCCCTTTGCAGGTGCTGGCATGGATCCTGTTTGCGGTCATTGTGGTGGCGGCCGGCGTCGTGGCCTTTGCCTTTGTCCGCTTCGTCTTCCACGCCCGCGAGCCAGAGAAGACGTTCACCTCTGTGGTGGCGGTGACTGCGCTTATGTTTGCCCTGTTTACGGTTGTTCTAGTTCCTGTCGATGTGTACAACGTGTCGTCAACGTCGGATGAGCATGGCAATGCCCGTCTCTCGCCGGCGGACGTCTCGTCGCGCATGACCTCGGTGAGGGACCTGTACCTCGTCCTCTACGGCGTCATGCTGTTCTTCCTCTTCATTGCCATTCCCTTTGCCTACTTTTACTACGAGGAGGACCATCCCGACATCACTGTCAACGCCCGCGTCGCATCTGCCTGCAAGTACTCCATCTCGGTTCTGGTCATTGTTGTCATCCTTGTCGTCATCGGCATTGTGCTCTCGGGCGCAAAGCCCGACGTCAAGGACGACCAGGCCGAGGCGTACCTCAACCACCTGCTCGACTCGGAGACCAAGACCGAGGCTTCGATCTCGTTTGCTATTGCCTCGCTCACCGTCATCGGCTTTATGTGCGTCGTCACCTTTACCGGCTGTGGCTTTGGCGCCATGCCCGTGGCCATGATCGCCGGCTCCATCCACCTCGAGTCGGAGTCACGCGACGTCACCGAGTCGCTCCTCACCACCAAGGAGAAGGCCCGCGCCATCCAGGCCAAGTATATTTCCGGCCGCCGCATTTCCAAGAAGGACCAGAAGGCGCTCGACATGCTCCGCCGCTCCGAGAAGCAGCTCACCCGCCGCTCGGCGCGGATCCAGGCGACCCGCAACACTTGCTGGGCCAAGATGACCCGCTTCCTCCGCCCGCTTCAGATCCTCTTTGGTATTGTCTTTCTCCTCCTCACCCTCTTCCTCACCATCTCGCTCATCATTGGCGGCGTCGATCGCCTCAAGCACTCGGTCTGCGGCTACAACTGCGGCTGGGTCCTCTCGCGTCCGCAGATCTCCAACCCCTTCGACATGCTCATGGTCAAGCTTGCCACAGTCTTCCCGCTCGACTACGTCATCCTGCTTGGCGTCTACCTCTTCACTTTCCTCGCCACCGCCGCCGGTCTTGTCCGCGTCAGCATCCGCTGCTTCTGCTTCCTCATGTACCGTGTCCGCAAGGCCGCCACCGTCCCCCAGGGTGTCCTACTCTCGGTTGTCATCATCTCGCTTGCCTTTATGGCCGTCAACGTCATGTTTGTCCAGCTCGCGCCGCAGTACGCCCTCTTTGGTTCGCAGGTCTACGCCCTGCCCGACGGCTCTACCAAGCCGTGCTCCATCGAGGCGCCCATCGAGGCCGGATGCGTCATGTCGCAGGTCGGTCGCTTCGTCACCCGCATCTCCATCAAGTTCCCGGTCCTCGGCACTGTGTTCTTTGTCGGCAACGCCGGCGTCATCGTCATGACTCTTGTCTCCATGCTCATCGCCGCACTTCGTGGTCGCGAGACCGCCACCGACTGGAACGGCTCTTCTGACTCGGACGACGACTACTGGTAGTGTGTGTTGTAAAGTCTTTACTTGTGTGTGCTAGGCAGACGATGATGACGACGACATCCACGGCATGTGGACCTTGCCCATCGGGTTCCACCAGTGTGAGTCGCGGTCGACGTGGACCGGAGCAGCCGGCGCCGCCGCCGGCGCAGCGACCGGCGGCGGCTTGGGCGCCATCTCCACCTCGTGCCGACGCGAGTGGTGGCGAGACTCGTTGTCGCGGCGCTGGCGCTTGTAGTAGCACCATGCCGCGCAGCAGCAAAGACCACACATGACGACGCCGACAACGACTGCCACAATGATCAGCTGTTGGAGCTGCTTCTTGCGCCGCTCGGCCAGAATGGCGTCCTTGGACGGCCGCCGCTGCTGGTCGGGCTCAACCCAGAGTTCTGCCAGCGCCTCGGCTGACGGAGTGCTGGACTCGCCGAGTGCCGCAGCAGCGTCGACCAGCGCCTGTCGACACCCGGAGCACGCCACGCCGCACGAGAACTTGGTCGGCGGAATGGCGACGGCACCGCCGAGCTCGCCGCCAGGGAAAAGCTCGTAGCCGCCGATGATGGGCGTGGCGTCCGGAATGGTGACGGCAGCGACCCGGGCAGAGACCGAGACGCCAAATGAGAGCTGGTAAGAGACGTCGCCGGGACAGGTGTCTGCCCGCGGCGCGACTTTTGCCAGGCCGCGGCCCTCGGGTTCGGCGTTGACCAGCGCGGTGTCGCGGACCGAGCGCGAGCTCGACGACAGCAACTGGAGCCTGAACGCGACGGTACCCGAGGTGTCGAGCGCCTGGGAGAGAAGTCGCACGAGGTGTCGAGGGCGGAAAAGGTGCATGTGACCGGAGCGGTCCGCCCAATTTCGGCGTCGGTGCCAAAGTCGTCGTCCATGACGATGAGGGTGACGCTTCGCGACGCTGCGCGGTCGACCGGCATCTCGCGGCCAAAGGCCAGCGCAGCATTCCAGGTTGGTGCCGTCGAGTCTGAGACGTACGCTGTCTGCTTCTCGCCGTAGTCGGCGACGGCGACTTTGACGTACGGATCAATGCCAGTGCCGCCGGGGAGGCCTGAGGCCGAGAGAACCTGGACAATGAACCGGCCGTTGGCCGGCGAAGAGACGAAGCGGATGGCAAACTCACCCGAGTCGGCGGTGTTGGACGAGTCCGACTCGTCGACAACCATTACGTAGTAGTTGGACTTGGTCTCCAGATCGTACGACAGGGTGACGTTGGCGGCGCCGGATGCGACCGAGACGCCAGATGCGAGGGTGACGACTCGCTCGTCGGGCCACCGCGGGACGGCCTCCCACAGCTCGATGCGCAGGGTGGCAGTTGGGGACATGGCCGACGCGCCCCATGCAACTTCGACGGTGTCGCCGGTCGCCCACGACGTGCCGGGCAGCGGAAAGTAGACCGAGTCGAGCGAGGGCGAGCCGTCCGAGGTGCCAACGACAACGGTCGGCGAGTAGTCGCCCCAGCCCGAGGCCGAGCCGGCCTTGAGCCGCACGCCATAGCCCTGGTCGGCTTCGAGGCCGGTCATGGTGTAGCGCGGGCGAAGCGGGGATGGCGCCGATGGGTCGATGGCGTCGGTGACGGCGACCCACGGGTTTGTTGTCACCGCGCACGGCAGCGGCCAGAGGCCGCACTTGTAGCGGTCGAGGGCGTAGCGGGTTGGCGCCGAGGTGCGGGCGCCGAGGGTGGGTGGGAGCCAGCCGAGGGTGACCGAGGTTGTCGTGGCGGTGACCTTGAACGGGGCGTAGTTGACCGGGTTAGGGCGGGCAAGTGGCGAGTCTGGAATGTCGATGAGCGAACCAACGACGCGGCCATTGGCGTCGTCGTTGTTGACGGCATTGCCCGAGGCGTCGACAAGCTCGTAGCCGATGTAGGGCTTGGCGACGACGCCGACGCCGACGGTCTGCCACATCATGATGGTGAGCGAGGGCATGACGTACGCCTTGAGCGTCACGTCCTTCTGCTCAAAGAAGTACTGCGGCTTGCGAAGCTCGAGGCCCCAGGCCGGAGCCATGATGAGCGACCAGCGGTTGTTGCGGTAGCGGACGCCAAACTCGGCCGAGGCCTTGGCCGAGAGCCCTGCGGTGATGCGCATGGTGATGGAGCCCATGGCCTTGGCCATGCCCTGGAGGCGGTACTTGGGCTGGATGTGCATGGGCACGCCGGCGGCGACAAAGATCCACGCCACGCCTGGGATCTCACCGCCAATATCAAACGCGTGGTCCTCGTCCATGTTCTCGGTCCACGACGGATTCTCCACAGCAAGGTCGCCGTTGACGGCGGCCTCGCCAAATACCTTGACCTCAAAGCTCTCGATCCAAAAGTTGGCGATGGTAAGCTCCATGTGCACCCCGGCACTCATGTACGCGTAGCAGTTGTAGCAGGTGAGCGGGCCCGCGGTGACCTCAAACTCTGCGGCAATGTCATCGTCAGCGTCGTAGTTGAAGTTGAAGACGTCAAAGGTCTTGTCGAGTGCCACCCGCGGCAGCATGGACTGCGAGTCGTGGCGCGGCGGCTCAAACGCGGCAGCCGGCTCGTGGTGAAAGACCACATGGGCGTGCTCAAAGACATCGGTGAGATTGGAGGCCACCACCGGCCATGAGACGACGCCCGACGATCCGAGCCGCGACGGCGAGCCCGCGAGGCGGACCATCAGCGGCTTGCCGCAGGAAAAGTGAGCGCCGCCGACAGCGGGCGCACCAACCGGCCAAGCCATGACTTCCTCGGGCGCCGACGAGACGACGAGCAGGACGTCCGATCCAGAGCGGGTGCTCCTGGCGCAGTGGATGTCGTGGACAGCAGGAGCGTGATCGAGGGCGATGGTGCGCGGGCGAAGGACGGCCGAGTAGGCCATGCGGGTCTCACCGCGCTCATCCACATGGAACACGTCGTGCGCAGCATGGATGCGGCCCTTGGCGTCGGTCTCCTGCCGGCTTGGCGGCGCCGCGAGGCCGTCAATGCCATGGAACGGCGCCGCCCGCTTGCGTGCGTACGGCATGCCAGCCACCTGCGGAGCCACCACCAGCAGCAAGCTGAGCAGTGCGGCCACAGCCACCACCGTGTGTGGGCGCATGGATGGGCTACGTGTGGAGTGAAGTGGAGTGCAGTAGGGCGGGGAGGAGGAGGTGGGGAGGGGGGTGGGGAGGGAGGGGGGGGGGGGGGGGGAGAGGAGCAGTAACAGACCCATGCCACGACACCGCCACCCTAGACAGAGAGCAAGGGCTGAGTCGGGAGCTGGCCCTGCATGGGCTACCACTGGCGACGTGCGCTCGTTCCGACGACATGCCCAGTCAACGGCCTCGTCGTCGCTGCTCTCCACCGCCGTCGCCCGCCGCCTCGCCATGTTTCGCAACAATCGCCGTGCATGGCGCTCGTTTGCCGATGCGGTCAAGACAGAGCGATCCATAGCCCGCAACTCGCCGGCTCTGGCCACAACGCTCTCTGCTCGTATGGCTGTCTTTGATGGTGACGATGCCGACGACGATCACCTCGACGGCGATGCGCTCGCCGACTTGGCTGCCTCGCTCCACTCTCTCGCTCGGACAGAGCACGAGTCGTCCATCGTCGACGCAAACCGCAAGGTTCTCTCGCGCGAGGAGATGGACGCAGCTCGCGCTCGCTGGCGTGCCAAGCACGATGCCCGCATCGCCGCTGCAGAGCGCGCTCAGCAAGCCCAGGCCCGCAGGCTCCTGCGTCGCCGGGCCGAGATGCGGTTCGGCGACGATGCCCGCGCCGTCGACGCCCGCGCCGAGCAGCGATTTGCCCGCCGCCAGGCTCGCGCCCGCCCCTGGCTTGTCCTCGTCGCACTCGCCGCCCGCCTCGAGCACTGGCGCGCCGCCATCGTCGCCGCCCGCGATAAGAAATCCCGCGTCGAGGAGCGCGTCCAGACCATCCAGCGCTTCTGGCGCTCACACCGCATGAACCGCCTTGCCCGCGAGGCACACGGTGTCGACACCCTCGAGCGCGCCCTCACCGTCCGCCTCCTTCAGAAGCGCCTCGCTGCAAAGCGCAAGGCCGCCACCATCGCCGCAGACGTTCTTGGCGAGTTTGAGCAGGTCAACGACATTGTCAAGTTTGTCAAGCGCTTCCGCGCTGCCGCCATGACGGTGCAGGCCGGCTGGCGTGCAAAGCGCGCCCGCCGCATGGCCCAGGTCAAGATCATTGCCCGCGCCTTTGACATTGTCGAGCGCCGCGCCATGAACGACGCCCGTGAGACTGCCAATGCCTCTATCTTCACCTCGGCCTCAGCAAGCCTCACCGTCTCCGGCAACGCCGCCACACTCGGCGCCGAACTCGCCCGCCGCCGAGCCGTCAACTCTTCCCGCCGCAACTCGACGTCGGCGGCGCCGCTGCTCGCTCCGCCGTCGCCCATCAACGCCTACAACGCCGTCCCTGACACCGTCAAGTGGCTGGTCCTCGAGGAGAACCTCCTCGAGCGCGAGCGCGCCCACCTCGCCGCCCTCCACCACTACACCACCGTCACCCTCACCCAGTGGGACCGCGAGTGCAAGTCGCTCCTCAACCGCCTCCGCGTCGAGTCGGCGCTCCAATCGCCAGCCTCCTCGGCGATCGCTGACCCGCTCGCCGCACCCCATGCCTCGGCACACCTCCCGCCCAAGCCGCCACCGCCGCACTTTTCCATCTTCCCTTCCGAGTCAGAGCTTGTGGCGCTTGTCCACAAAGCCCATGCTCGCGTCAGCGCCGACCCCCTCGGCGACACGGGCGGCTCGTCACCTGGCGCCAACTCGCTCGGCATTAACCTCGCCCGTCGCTCCGGTGCCCTCCGCAGGCGCCCATCGCTCAACTCCAAGTTTGCCTCGCTTAAGCTCCGAGCCTCGGCTGCCCGATCCCGCTCGCCGCTCGCCTCGCCGACCTCGCCGGCGGTCCCCGTTCTGCACTCGCCGTAGCCAGTCGCCAGCCGCCAGAGCAAAGCCAGAGCCAGCACCAGAGCCCAGCACCCAACTCCTCTCTTCCTCTCCTCCTCTCCGCCATGGCCAGTAGGGTGTACGGCGTCGACATCGATGCCGACGGGCGGGCACAGGTCGACTGGAGTACCGTCCGCGAGCCAGTCTCGCTCCGCCTCCTCGGCCGAGTCACTGCGCCTGTGGTGAGCCTCAATGTGTCGGGCGTCGACTTTACCGACGCCGGCGTGGCGCTCAAGACCCTCCCCTCACTCACGGCCTTGCACATGGCGAGCGTGCCGGACAAGGCCCTCGACGCTGTCCTTGGACCCGACGCAGGCGTCCTGCCCAAGCTGGGCGCGTTGGCAACCCTCGACATCTCCTACACTTGCGTCGACTCGCTCGCCTCGCTCGTCGCCCTCGCGCCTACCCTCGACATCCTCCGCATGGCCGGCACACTGATCCGGTCGGCAGACTACAGCTTTCTTGCCAATCTTGGCCTCATCGAGCTGGACATTGCCGGCTGCGTCGGCCTGGATCTTGCGGTCATCCAGCACATGTCACGCCTCCGCCTCCTGCGCCTCGCTGCCGCCACAGACGTCGACGACTGGTCGTGGACGGTCCTCGACGAGCTCGCCTCGCTCGTCGATCTGGACCTCAGCCGCACTGCTGTCCCGGGTGCACACCTTGTCGAGTCGCTTGCCTCGCTTCGGACGCTCAATCTCGATGAAACCCAGCTGCCGTCGCTCGCCCCGCTCGCCACCCTCCCCGCCTTGGAGCATCTCTCGCTCCGCAAGACAGAGTTTGATCCTGCCGCCTTGGACGCGCTGCAGGCTCTCCGCCATCTGTATGTGGAACGCTCCACGCCCGATCTCGCCCTTGCCGCCGCCGCGAATGGCTTTACCCTCCACGCCGACGTCCAGGATAACGCCACAGAGTTTGCGCTGCTGCCGAGCTCGGCGCTTTCGGCGAGCAACCTCGGCCCGTGGGCTCTGCATGCCCGCGCTCCTGCTAGCTCGGAATAAACCGACCGCCATGGTACGTCGGCCCTGGCTCTGCAGCGCCAGAAAGGAGGCCAACCACAAGCGCCAACAGCAGCGCCATCGTCAGAGTTGCCGCCCCGTCGCGGGCATACCGCCAGCACACGCCTCCGGCCGCAATGCCCGCCTCGTCGGCGTCCGAGCTTGCGCTCAATTCCGTGCCCGTCCCGCGGCCTGGACTCAGCAGTGCGTCCTTGACCCGGTAGTGCTCCACTACGGCTTCGCGAACCTCGAGCTCGGCGATGAGCGCAGCCACAAGGGCGGGCGTTGGTGTCGCCGGGTCGATGCTCAGCTCCAGCGGCGCTTCCTCGAGCACCAGGCGCCGCACCGCTGTATCGTCCTCCATCATCTGCTGGAGTGAAGCCTCTACGCTTGCAGCCTCGGCGGCAGCAACGCCGTCGTCGGCCACAGCTTCCAGCTTCTCAGCTGTCGCCGCCAGCTCGGCTTCCAACTCCTCGACCTGCTCCCGGAGCCCGCAAGCGACTGTATCAGCCGCCGCAGCACTTCCCGCGGCCGCCGCCAGCTCAGCCTCGAGCCTCGCCACACACTCGGCCGCTGCCCGGCGTGCATCGACGACCGCAGTCAGCTCAGCCCCGGCCGCCTCGGCCCGCACGGTCGCCTCATCCAGGAGCTGGGCGGTTGCCGTCAGCTCGGCCTCGAGTTCGGCGATCTGCTCCTTATGCCCGGCGTACAGCGCCTCGACTGCAGCCGTATGCTTCTGCGTCGCCTCCGCCAGCTCGGCCTTTAGCTTGGCAACACGAGCCTCTGCCGCCTCGGCCCGCACCACCATCTTATCGAACCCAGTGCCGGCAGCATCAAGCTCGATCTCCAGCTCGCTGATCTGACCCCGCAGGCCGGCGTAGACCAGGTCAGCCTCGACGCAATCCTTGGTCGCCGCCATCTCCTCCTTCAGTTCGTCGATGATCCTGCTCTGGTCCGTCACCTGTGACCGCAGCTGCTCCACCAGAACCGTCAACCGCGCCGCCTCGTCGTCCGCGATCGCCACCACCGGCTGACCCACCAGTGCCACGCCACTGCCGTCACCACCACCACCACCACCACCACCGCCACCACCACCGTCACTGCCACCACCACCGCTGTCGCTAATGCCCCGGTCCATGACCAGCTTGTCAAACCAAGTCAAGTGGCAAGCGAGAGCCAGATGCCATAGTGCAATCTCTAGCAGGCGGGTGGTACCAGTAGTGGAGGAGGAAAGGGGAGAGGAGGGGGAGAGGAGGGGAGGGGGGGGGGGCGGGGGGGGCGGACCGGGGGGGGCGGACCGAAGTGG